CTCTCTCTCCCTTCTGCTAAGGTAAATAGCCCTCAGGCACCTAAGAGCGATTGGTCCGTGTCTGGAAACAGCTAGACGGGCTGGGGCCGGAGACCAACCAGTCCCAGGCGTTCACATCAGCAGCCGGTAACAAATCCCTTATGGAGGGGCCCTGTTCACATAAATCATCCGCTCCCCAGCCCCAAATGGAATCCTCCTCACCCCAAGCTGCTCAAGGAAGGATCTCTTACCCACCAATATGTGATTCCTATAATTTGAGGCTGTGGCCATCTCTGTCATTGGAGTTATACAGGGCCCAAGAAGTGGAAGAGACACCAGCCCTTCCATGATTTCTCTGAGATGCTTCCAAACCATCACCCACTTCAGCTATTCTTACAGCCAAGTTCCAGCCAAATGACCTTGGGCAGATAACTTCCCCTAAATACCACTTCTTAGAGTCTGGTAACACCTCAGGGGTGAGTATGAGGATTAGATGAGATGGTGCATATGATGTTTTTTAGCACAACGCCCAACACTTAGAAGATAGTCCATAAACAGTCGTGATGATTATTGTAACATTCTTGTCACGATCTCAGTTCATCTATCTGTGAATCGTGCCACATTCACATTTTTCTTTTATGTAAGCCATATTCCAAATATACAACCTCCAGGAGGTAATGGCTAGGGCTCTGGTCTGTCAAACTGATCACCATTTTTCACTGTGTGGGGGACATAGGACCTAACTCTGGTCCAGCGGCTGTATTCCCCCCTCCCAGTGAGACTTGGCCAAGCCTCTGACCTTCTTGGGCCTCAGGGATGGGCTATGCTTAGCATTTTCCTGCATTTACTTATTAAGTCCTCTTACCCACAAGTATCCTCCCAATCACCCCATGAGAGGAGGTACTATTGTCACCTTCATTTACGATGTGTGATGATGGCTGAGAAAGGTTAGGTAGCATGCCCTGTTAATGGGCAGTGGGAGTGCTTCAAGACCAGTCAACTCCAGAGTGCAAGGTCATCATTACCATGGCCTAAGCTATAAGCTCACTGGCTTGGGCTCGACTGATCTGTTCCATGTGCATTTGTGGGATCTCAGGACTGTATGCCTTTGCCCTGCAACTAGGCTGCCCCTTTTGAAAAGAAGAGGTGGCCTGGAGAGGTGATGACTTCATATAAGCTAGGGGCTGGGCAGAATTTCTGAATAAAACAGCCAAGAGATACTTGCTGAAGCCTCCTGAGTGCCTGACCCTAAATGCTTGTAGAAACTCCAGCTAAGGGCACTGGGCATGTTTCCTGAGTCGGGCAGAGGGGTTTAGGGGGTAAGCCAAGTGACCCACATGGGACTGTTGGTCCAGTTGATATGAAGCTTCAACATCACAATGGAGATTATTCCTCCAAGCAGACCTGGCAAGCCGAAGGTGTAGTGCACGCCACAGGTATCATGAATCCCCAGCACTCTGTTAAAACACATCTGGGGACAAACATCATTATAAGCAGATTTGTGGGTAAGACCATATTCCCTACCCACCCTTGGCATCCAGGGCCACCGAAGGGGAATGCACATTGAGGAGTGCCTAAAGAAGCGCTTCTCAGGCTCGGCACCTGTAGCTCAGCAGCTAGGGTGCCAGCCACATGCACTGGGGCTGGTGGGTTTGAATCCAGCCTGGGCCTGCCAAACAACAATGACAATAATAACCAAAAAACAGCTGGGTGTTGTGGTGGGCGCCTGTAGTCCCAGCTACTTGGAAGGCTGAGGCAAGAGAATCTCTTAAGCCCAAGAGTTTGAGGTTGCTGTGAGCTGTGACTCCACAGCACTCTACTGAGGGCAACATAGTGAGACTCTGTCTCACAAAAAAAAAGAAGAGTTGGATTTAGTTGGTGCAGTATGGGGCCTGAGACTCTGCATTTCTAATGAGATCCCCAGATGATGCTGATGCTGATGTTCTGCAGACCACCCTGGGAGCAGGAAGGGTCTAGTGGTAACTTTGTTATGGGAGCTGTCCCATACATTGCAGGATGTTTAACAGCTTCCTGGACCTCTAACCACTAGTAACAGTAGCACCCCGGCACCAATTTGACATTGTCAAATGTCCCCTGGGGGGCAACTGAGATCAGCTGGTTTAGCTCAGATTTAAGTGCAGTCCCAAAGACAGCAAGGCTGTTTGAAAGAAAAGCATCTGACCACATGTCCAGATTCCCATCAGGGGGCTCCTTCTGTCTGCTCACTTAGCCTCCCAGATGGCCAGGAGCGACAGATTGTGTTACAAATGCTAATTTGATCAGTTTAGTTCCCTCCTTAGACTCCCCATCACCCTGGGCAGCGCCTGTGGCTCAGTGAGTAGGGTAGGTGGCGGGTTTGAACCCAGACCCGGCCAAACTGCATTAAAAAAATATAGCTGGGCGTTGTGGTGAACACCTGTAGTCCCAGCTACTTGGGAGGCTGAGGCAGGAGAATTGCCTAAGCCCAAGAGCTGGAGGTTGCTGTGATGCCACAGCACTCTACCAAGGGCAACAAAATGAGACAGACTCTCTAAAAAAAGAATCCCCATTGCCCTCAGATGCCTGAGCATCTCTCATCCACCAAGACTCTGGTTCCAAATTCAACTTTCAAAGGTCTACTCCTTTGTCCCCCATCCAGTCTTTAAATCCATTGAGATTGGTTGGATTTAAATCCCTAAATCTTTCTTTTTGAAGTACATTATAACCAACTGGCTCTAATGGAGTATTTTGGGATGATCAATTCTTGTTGAGTATTCAAGAAAGAAAGATCCATTCACTTAAAAGAAGAATTAAACAATCCAAAGTAGACATGGCCTGAGGCATCAGCCACACCCTCGCTCTCCTCCACCACTTGGCTCATGGCAGCAGCCAGGTCGTTTGACATGCCCTGTACTAACCCACATCACGCCCCACCATGCTGAGGATGACACATTATCCAAGTTAAACCAAAGGACCCCCTTCTCTATAAACTTTGCAACTGGGGCCAAGAGATTCCACTTGGCTGCTTTCTTGATGCAAAAAAAAAACACATTCCACCAGGTGGAGGGGAGGAAGCAGCCCCTACAGAGTGAGAATGAAGATGTTCAGGAAAAGCAGGGAAAGAAGTAAAGCGGGGATGTCTTGAGCTCCCCACAGTACTCCAGTCCCTGGTGCCAGCCCTCCCTGGGTTGCCAGCAGCAACCCCGTCCTTGGGTTCTGTGACATTCCCATAGCCTTATAACAAACTCCCCCTTCTGTCTGAGCAAATTTTAGTGGGTTCTGTTACTTGCTCCAGCATCCTAACCAATGTACCAGGGTCCCCTAGCCAGGCTTTGAAGCTAACATCAGAAAGTGCCAACATCTGCCTGGTACAGCCCAAGGTATTGCTTAATGGCCCACCAGGGCCCCAGGGTCCTGCTGGTATAAGTCAAGGCAGAAAGTATTCATTGTCCAGGTTCTTACCGGCAGGCATTTCGCTCCCCCAGTGGAGATCAGCCCAGCCACAAGGCCCAGCACCATAGCCAGCCAAGGAGAAGGGATCAGGTGACATGAAGCACCCACAGCCACGCCTCCTGCCAGCACCGCATTGTGGACATGAGTCTGCAAAGAAATAGCTCATGGGAGAATGATGTGAGACCTCGAGAGGACACCGTCTTGCTGAAAGTTATTTCACACCCTGAGAGCAAGGCAAACAGATGACATCCTCCCTGCTGCACAGATCCTGAAACCACCCCCTCCTCTCTGTTGGGGTTAGGTTTATGTGACCTTCATCAGTGGGCTAACTCTACTCCTGCCTCTCAGGCTCCGGGTGCAGTTATCCTGGTTGGGAAGCATTTAGGGAAAGTACTGGAAAGTGCAGGTACACAGTACCCACTCTCACGCGTATTAGTGATGTTCCTTGAGTGCTTTGAAGAATGGGGTTTTGAGTGGGGAGGAGCATGAATACAAGTGTTAGGCTCAGAGGAACTAAGCGCTGTGGGGGGGTGGCGGGCAGCACTCTTCTTACCATGTTGATCTTTCCTCGGGGGTGAGTCCAGGCAGACACTGAAATAGCTGTCACTGTGCTGACCGCTAGGGCATAGTAGGTGTTGAAGATAGCATTCTTCATTTCATTTTGATCGTTCAGCAGCGCGGAGTTGAAACTCGGCCAGAAGGTCCACAAGAAGAGGGTACCTGGGGGCCAGAGAGGGTCATTGTCAGAGCCACACTCCCGCTCCAATGGCCTGAGCCTCTGGCAGCTTCAGATGAGGAGAATCCTAGAGCTAGTAAGTCTCCATTGTCACTTTCTAGCTATAGCAGCGGTTCTCAACCTGTGGGTCGCTACCCCTTTGTAACAATGAAAATACATTGAGGCATTAGGAAGGTTGAGAACCACTGAGCTATAGTTACAGTTACGCGAATGTGGGCAAATCATGTCTCCTTTCCAAATTCTCAAGTTGGCAGGGACCGGCTAACATAGTTTACAGTCAAGGAAACACCATAGAACTGACATCCACAAACCCCAGACCTCCTGAACACAGTTTGTAATGGCCTTTTTTTTTTTTTTTTT